TATATTATAAAAATAAGATTTATATATATAATTATTTATATAAAATCATATTTATATTTATTTTAAAAATTTATTGAAAATTTTTTGTTCATTGTATATTCTTGAATAATTATATATTATATTCTTTGAATCAATTTTTAAATTTTTTTGAATCAATTTTTGAATTTTCAAATCTAGTGTTTTCAAAAATACTAAAAGTAGATATACAATATTTGTGTAATAAGTCACTGATGTTTTCTTCAGTTCATTAGTTTAGTTATTAGATGATGTTCGATTATCATATTAACTGGAAATTAATTTTTAAATATACAAAAAAATATATATTATATATGTATAACATAATCCAAGTAATGGATTATGTATTAAAAGTCTTATACATTAAAAGTTTAAATCTTCTTTTTAAAGTTTACAAATTATATAAAATAAGATCTATAAACAGATAATAATTGATCATATCAAGAAAAATATTTTTTAAATTTATTAAGATACGTTTAAATTTCAAATTTATGATGAATATAGTATTTCAAAATATCTACTACTTAGAATTTATTTTGAATCATTACAATAATTTTTTTGTTTTTTTGTAAATCAACTTCGAATCAAGTGATTAATTCATATTAATATATAATTAACGTGTAAGAAAATTAAAAAAAAAAATTGATCGTGAAAAAATAATAAAAATTATTTACAATTTTACAATTCTTTTATCTGAGCCTGTAATAAAAAATTAATCAATATCTTTTGTAAATTTATTATCATCAATTATATTATTATTATCAATTATATCAATAAATTTATATATATGCTGAAGATTTCATCAAAATTGATTGATACAAAAATCAAAAAATGACAATCAAAAAAATGTGAAAATCTATAGATTTTAAATAAATAATTAATAAAATACTATTATATACTATATATATATTATATATATATTATATACTAAATAAAATACTATTTCAAATAATAATAATAATAATAATTCTATTTATTAAATAAAATTATTACATTATATATAATAAATAATTCTTATTTTAAATATAAATATATCATATATATTTATATTTATAAATATATCAAATATATTTAAAGTATAGATATAATTTTAAAAATGAAATATTTTATTTACATTTACAAATAAATTTTTAAAATAGTATTTAAAAATAGTATTTTACTTAAAGAATATTAAGAATCTTTGAATATTGTCTTGAATTATTTTATTTTTTTTATTTTAAATATTAAAATGATTCAATACATTTTTGAATACGAAGTTTTCTAATTTTTCTTTATATATGTACTGTAGTATGTATTGTAGTATCGAAAATCATGATATAATTGACAGATTTTTCTATGTGCAAGAATATTTTTTATCATCATTGTTTATTTATTTCCATTTCAATTTTTTCTCAATATCTTTGAATAGAAATTCTTAAGTTTTACTAAGAATAAATCGAAAAAATATTACTTATGAGATGATCTAATACTTTAAATGAGATTAAAGCATTTTATGTTATATTATTAAAGTAAAATATTTTATTTAAAATTTTATTATTCTATTCTATTTAAAATACTATTTTATTTAAACCGAAGAAATTAAATAATAAAAATTAAATAATATTTAAAATATTTATTTCGCCAAATATTATCTAACATTTTAAAAGTTGATCATATTTTTTACCAAATATTTTTTACCAAATAGTTGTATGTAATAATAAGAAATATTTTTCTTTAAATTTATATTCGTCATTCAAGGTCAACAGTTACAAGAAATACAATGATGAAAACTATTCCATTGTCTTTATTCTCAGAATGTTTTAATCTACACAATTGATTTTTCTGATCGACTAAAATTTTTCGTTTGCTTATGAATTTATCTCATTTTTTGCTTCTTAGTTCGATCATTTTTTATCCAAACATGTCTGACTTATATAATAAATGAATGTCTCTAAACTATACTAAACAAGTTATGTAAATCTGTGAGAGTTTTTCACATGCATTATGTGAAATATTGTATATATCTGTTTCAGGCGGTGCTTTCCCACCCGAATTCGCCGCCCCTATCTCAAATCTAACAGTGGCGTTAGGAAGGGACGCAACTTTTACGTGTCTGGTCAAACATTTGGGAGGTTACAGGGTAAGTTTCCCCCTATGAAAATTCATCAACCATGATGTATGAAATTCTTGCAACGATGGCGGAATATGTAGCCGTCACTTTTATTCATTAGTATATTTTTATTTTAGTCTAACATTAGTCTAACATGTTTCAATTATTATGAAAAAATTAAAAACTTTTATAGTAGTTATAAAAAAATATTTACATATATGTTTATTTTTCAATAGAGTAGTTTTTTATCACATTTATTATCATACATCAATTTTTTATAGAACTATTATTATGGATATTAAAAAACTTTAAATAGAATTTAAAATGATATTAAATATAATAATAATTATTATTATAACTGTTTTCGTAAGATCTGAAAATCATAACTATTGAAAATTCACTTTATTTTTAATATGCCAAAATTGGTATATTATAATTATTATATATTATTATAATTTATTATTATTATTATTATAATTATTATAATTTAAATATATAGTAGAATATAATTTTTTTTATGAGAATTTTAT